GGTGGCCATGATGGTGCCCATGCTCTATCCTAGATCAAGAAGACCTGCAAGGTCCCCGACTTCCCGCCCCGCCATGTCCCCAACTGGATGCCCAAAGTGCTGGAGCAGCGCCGGCAGGGCCTGGAGCTTTACATCCGGGTAAGGCGCCTGCTGGTGCTGGATTTTGGGTAGTGGTTTATTTTTTTTGGGGTGCTGACCACCCCCTCTCGGGTGCACGGCAGGGTGTCCTGTACCACAACAAGGAGCTGCCCCAGGATGTGCTGGACTTCCTGAAGGTACAGCACTGCCAGCAGGACCCCAAGGCCAGCAGCCCCCCGTGAGTAGGCGAGCAGTGGACAGTGCCATTGGCTTTCGCTGCTGGCACCTGTGTTACCCTGCATGGTGCCGGGATCTTCCCTGTCACCCGTGTTAAGCACTCCAAGGCGTTGGGGACTATGGGGACTCGCAAGCGCCCAGGTGATCCGGGGTGGAAGCAGGAGCCTTTGCCGGGTGCCAACATCCCCTCTCCCATGGCAGCACCGGCCCCCTGCCCTCCCAGCGGCCCGTCATTGGCTTCTGCACCGACCCCTACGTGCAGCCACTGGGCACAGGTAAGAAGCAGGACCATGGGTGCAGGTCCCCAAAGCCTCCAAAGGAAAAGGTTCTTTTGGGCCATCCCAAAACCATGTTTTTTCTTCCTTTTAATGGGGCCTGGGAGGAAAACAAAATCTGCTCCAGCTCCCCCCTTTCCTTGCAGACCTGCTCCCCAATGCCGTGCTCAGCGGGGTGCTGCAGGGCCTTCACATCCCCCCGAGCTGCACCTCCGGCCAGGCAGTGCCCCGAGCACCCACCCCACACCCACGGCCACAGTGGTGAGCAGCCAGGCAGCGGGAAGAATCCCCGGGGTAAAAAGAACTCCTCCCTGCCATGATGGGGCTGGAAAACTGGCTGGGAGAAGCCCAGGGGTACAATTGCAGCCACAGCTGCTCTCCAGGCCAGCACTGCTCACTCTGCACCCCCCGAAAGCCCCTTTGCTGGGTGCACAGGAGTTCTGCCCTCGGCCCAGATGTTTTGGGGTTGCGGTAGGAGCCTTTGGACCCTCAACCATGCTGGAAAAATCCCTGAGGAAACCCCCCAGCATCAATAAATCACTGGGGCTTGACTGGCAGATGGCTACACTCTGTTGTTCTGCGCAGTGAAACCAGGGCTTGGCTTGGTGAAAAGTGAAAGCAGGGGGGTGGAGGATGCGTAAGCAATCCCCTCCCCCTGCCAAGAGCAGAAGAGAGGCGACTCTTTAAAAAAACACATTGGTCACATTTATTGGTGCATGTGCTTCTTAGAAAAGTGATGGGAAGAGGAGCCAGTGCCCCGTCCTGCCCGCTGGCTGGGTGAAGGGGTAGGCTGGGCAGCAGCTCTGCTGCTGCTCACCCGCCCTGTGCCAACAGGGACGCGCAGGAGGGGAAGCCGGGCAGCCCCAGGCCCGCAGCCCCTTGCCCTCGTGTCCCTTGCAGAGCGCAGGGCCCCACACGGTGTTGCGGGGCTGGGAGAGGGGATTACTCTTTGGCAATGGCGAATGGCTTCTCTACCTCGATGGTGCCACAGTCAGCGATGGCGACGTCCTTCAGGGGTTTGTCCCGGCTGTCTGTCTTTGTGTTCTCCACCTTCCTCACCACGTCCTAGGCAGAGTGGAGGCAGGAGAGCAGGGTAATGCTGGGCATGGGCAGAGCCAGCTCAGCGCAAATCCCCCTTCCAGTCCCTTCCCCTCACCACCCCTTGCCCCCTTACCATGCCCTCCAGCACTTTGCCGAACACCACATGCTTGCCGTCCAGCCACGGCGTCTTCACCGTGGTTATGAAGAACTGGGAACCGTTCGTGTCCTTGCCGGCATTGGCCATGCTCACCCAGCCAGGGCCATAGTGCTTCAGCTTGAAGTTCTCATCAGGGAAGCGATCCCCATAGATGCTTTTTCCTGAGGTGGGGGTGAAAAAAAAAAAAAAGGGCTGCATTGCTCTCCTGGACATACACCAGGGTAGGGGCGATGCTGGCGGCTCTCTCTGCAGGCTGGGTGGGGCAAATGAGCACACCTAGAGGGGGTTAACCACCAACACTGCGGGGCTGCAGGGAACCACGAGCTACCTGCTACTGGCCAGAACCAAAAGGGCCCCACGAGCTGGACAGGAGGGGTCATGCCTCCGAGGGACTGCAGCAGGAGGCTGTGTGAGTCCAGACCTGGCAAGAGCTTACGAGCCCAAATGCCAAGATCGTCAACTCTACCAACGTTTGCCAAGTGCTGGTGGAAGGTTTGAACTCCGCTGCTACCAGACTGAATGTATCCTGGCAGCCAGGACGCCTGGCAGAGGCACCAGTGGCTGCAGAGGTCAGTTTTACTAGTGAGGAGCTCCGGGTCCTCCTGGGGCAGAGGGCACAGTCATGCAGGTGACACTCAGGGACCAGCCAGACAAGACGCACTGCGCCCACCCCTGCCTCGCACCAAGCTCTGCTTTGAGGCCAGGTCAACTGTCTGCACACTCATGCCCATGTGTTCCCATGCTGGCACCATGCTCCAGCTCCATGCTGGTCCCCAAGGGCAGCCACGCAGTGGGTTGGGAGCGTGGCCACCATCTTGCTTCAAGGCAACGGCTGGGTCCTTGGGCTGGCGTAGGCCAAATTACCTCCAGTGCCATCTCCGCGGGTGAAGTCTCCTCCCTGGATCATGAAGTCCTTGATCACACGGTGGAACTTGCTGCCCTTGAAGCCGAATCCTTTCTGAGAGTAGGGAGGGAGAAGATGGAGTGAAGCAAAGGGATGGAGCAGAGGTCCCTCCGTCCAGCTCTGCCCCAAGTGGGAGCAGCCCAGGCGGTCAGGGGAGGTCCAGCCAGGCAGCCGCTGGCCCCTCACCTCTCCAGTGGCCAATGCCACAAAGTTCTCCACTGTCTTGGGCACTGTCTTGCCAAAGAGCCCAATGACGACGCGGCCCACATCCTCCTCACCAATCCGCAGATCAAAGAAGACCTTGGAGGGGGGGTGGTGGTGGAGGTAGATTAGGGGGGCATCAGTAGAGCCAGCCTCACCTCGCTGGGCTAACCCATCCCCCCACCGAGTCCGACCAGGCCTCACCTCGCAGGGTCAGGTCTCCCAGCTGCTCCCCCCAACCTCAGCCGGGCCCCTCCGACCCCAGGCCTTCACCCCAGGCCT